CTAGCCGAACGGCACCTTGTTTAGTAACGCTTGTCACAACGCATGGTGCTGGCTCTCAGAGTGGACGCAGCTGGTCTGTCACTTTGCTTGTAGACTTAATGATTTACATCGTAACGAGTCTTCTGGAGTTACCCCTTGAGTTGAGGAATGTTAGGTAAGTTAAGGATTATCCCTTGTAAATGATTGGTTTAATTTGAATAAGTTACCGAGTAGTTAATCTAGGAGCAGAATATACCGTAGACTCTCCTAAGTTCTAGCAAAGTAGTGTTGCTGAAAAACGACTAACATCGTAAATACACTATCCTACGCAGAAGGACGGAAACGCCACATGTCGAACGCGGCAATAAATGTATTCTTGTAGTAGTAGTAAATCTACTGACAGCGATGTAACAGTGTGTATTCGAAATTTACGATATTGACTGCGAGAAATTTGTTTCCTGGAGAGCCCGCCCTGCTTCTTGGATTAAGGGCTTCTTTAGTTGGCATTGTGGTACAGGTACTTTCAAAACAGTTTGCGAAGATTGTCGTACTTGCTGGCCTGCACGTGCTTGGGGAGATTGTAAGTGTTGTATCCGAAATCCTTCCATTTCTTGAATCCATTCATAAACTTTGTCCCATCCAACATCTCGTCAAGTTTCATCGTGGAGAAGCGGTTGATTCCCGTTCTTTCTTCTTCATCTGCATTTGCCTTCCCATTCTCAGCACGATCCTTATTGTTGTCGTGGTAGCGCAAGAAGCGTTTTTCACCACCAATGCTCTGGTTGGTAGCAACCGGGTCTTGTGACATGGAGATCCGTTAGTGCGCTTGAAAATAAGTTTCGAAGTGAGTATTTCTATTCAGCATGGAATTTACCGTTCTAGTCCTGAACCACTGTAGGGCGTAACCTTTCTTAAAGAAAACGGTACCACCCACGCCATCATCCACCAAGACGTCGTCAAATATTCCATGCTTTAGATCAAATTCATATACTGGTGGCAGTTTCAATTTCTTTCTCACCATCTTTCCCAAATTCATCCGTTCCATTTCTCGATGCACTGCATCTCCTACTTTCAGAGCATACTCCAACAATATGTTTTTCCTTCTCGCATGAAGAAACGAACCTAGGCAAATTCTCAGGTAGGTAGTGGAGCGAAAACTTATCTAAACCACCACCATGTAAGTTAAACACCGAAACAAAAGAAACGATACCTCAAGTTAGCACCCAACAGCAACATATAGCTGAGGTTGAAACGCCGAAATGTCATAATCGTCACTAACTGTTATCGTCGTGGCGTCATCATTGTCACCTTCTGGAGTCGACTCCACCCGTCCAAGAACAAATCGTGAAAGAAGAATACCCAAAAGCGACTGTTCTGCTTTTCGGGCCGTACTAGAATCAGAAGAGAGCAGACGCGATAGTAGCGGCAGTACTCGATTTTCCTGAAGCAAATATGAATCATCTATGTCGTAACCCATAGCACAGCATCTTAGCATGTTACGTGTAGATCGCTAGAACTCAGGAGGGTCTAGATTTTAGACTAGAATCAAGACCTTAGATTCTTACTGGATTCCTTCTCAATATATTTGTATAGGATTACTGGTGAGATTGTCTAATATTCCCCGTTGTAGTGTGTGGCAAGGAAGGAGGCGTTCCTCAACGGCAAGGAGGCTATCCTGAATCAAGAACCCCATCCCAAACTACAGCATCGTCTATCAACATGAAGTTGCAGCCTTACTGCAACCCTGATGCTCGACTCTCAAGGCTGTGCCCAGGGTGAAGCCTGTGGTCCTGATAGGAGTAGGAGTAGTTCAGTAGAATGCGGGAGCAGGAGTTAGTCGGAAGGAAGCTCACTTCTTAACTTGCAATCAACAAGCATCAGCATTTCAGCAACGCAGAGCGGAAACTACCACAAAGTATACTTTAGTCCTAAGCGACCGCAAGCATGGCAACCAAGTTACATCAGTATGAAGCTGATGGTGACGCAGTGATGAAGTCTGTGAACCAACCGATATTTGAGTTCGTATAGGCGCCGTGGTTGACCGACTGGAGTCACGATGCATTGGTCAAATGGAACCAAGCACGTGACCAGTACGAGGAAACTTTTTGACAACGCTGTTTTGAGAGCCGTGAACGACCCGAGACCGTGATGAAACCAGTAAAGTCCTCAGTCGACCGGAAGTTGCTGGAGGTGGTATCCCTCTACGAGTTTCGGAAGGCTGTGGATAACGTCAGCAGTAAGGAGCTTCTCATGCTGATTAAGCAGCGCATTGATACTGTAAAGAACGAGCCGATCCCCGACTTGGACGAGTTGTTCAAGAAGAAGTTGAAGATCGACTTAGCAGAAGATGATATCGATGCTCGTGTACTACGCTACTACAGTGATTTCTCCTCCATTATTGAGAACCATGGTTTAGGAAAGATACTCGGTGTCGGAGACCCAGATGCAGAGG